CCTCCGGAGACCTGTCGCCGAGGTCTGGCTTAACCTTGTCCCTTCAAGGTCTTGTAGCCCTAGGTTTTTGTGAAGAAAGAAGAGATTACCTCATTTCTTCTTTCAATAGGTATAGGCTTCGACTGTTCCGTAGAATAGGATGATTGATTGTAACTGCTTTGTTGATAGCTGCTACTAAGTGGACCCTGGGTAGTGGTCTAAACAAGCTTGGTAAAATCTTGTTCTGCTTAGAGGATAGGGTTAGATGGACAAAAATATGACTATTATGCAATGTGCGATACCATATAAACGATGATTAGTACTAAATCAAAATAAACTCGAATTAGCTCACTTTCAAATCCTCTACATAAAAAAAGAGATTAATAATCTCACACAATCATTAAGGTTATGTAGCTCTTGTCAAAAGGACCAATGCCGCATACAAAGAGAGGATTAGTAAGCTTTAACCTTTGGTTTTTGGGATGGTACAATATAACTTTTTGGCGCTTTCGTTGTAGTATCTGGTGGAGCAGCAGGTGCTGGGTACTGTCCACTTACCCTAGTCTCCGTACTATAGCTATAGGTCTGTCCAGGACCAGACAGTGGAATTGGCTCCTGCTGAAAGTAAGAAGAATCATAGAAATTCTACAAATTTCCCGATAGAGAAATTATTTTTTAACTGATCATTTGAATATTTGAAAGGGATATTTCCAAGTAAGAAAAATCTAAATAATTGAGAATTTTGGATAGACAAATTGTATATGAATTTTCGCCCCTTACTTTCTTCCTGCTCGTTTACTGACTTCTTTAAAGCTAATATTGATTACCTTACGCTTCCATTCGCGCAAATTATTTCGAGAAGTATTCAGCACAGATTGATAATTCTTAGTGACTTCTTAGCATAGCTCTTTGAAGAGTAGTAGTTAACCTGGACTTAGGTTGATGATTCTTGATAATTCTTTTGAAAGTAGAAACTTTCGAGAATTGCTAAGAGATGTTTAGAAGTTAGTTAAACATTGTACGAATTTTACTGCGCTTTAGTTCCTGGGGAGAAATGATGCACACATACGTTTCCAATAGTTTTACAGCATCTCATTGAGGTGCGGAAGAGAGCAAGAGTCTTTCTTGCCAATCACTCAACTTTCTTATCTCAGTAAAAGATACTACACATGCATTATGACTGATTAAACGTAAAAGCACTTTAAACCAATTTCGGTGTGATATCCATTGTCGGGTAACCAACGACTTTTCTTCCTATAACTGGAGCAAGGTCGTTGAAGAAAATAATGATAGGAAGTACTGTGGAATATCAAGTGACCTCGGCGTACACAATTTAAAGCTGTTCTAGAAGTTAACATCATCACAAAACTGTTAGTCGCTACAGATTGAAAGTGTTTGTAGCTAACAATAAGCTCGGAGACGGCCTTTATCATACATAGGGGTGGTCAATAAAGCAATAATTCAGAGTAAACTGCTACCTAACTGGAGCATGTGCTTCTGTGAAGAATCTATCTCTATGCTCAAAGATTTATGGCATTTGCATTGGTGTTTTTACCATATTACTGCGTAGCTTTTTTTCACAAAAAGAATTCGAAGAGCAAAGTCTGAGCCTGTCACGAGTTTTCCCCCTGTTTTTTTTTTCGGGAATAAATATGTCAGGAGGCTACAATAACCTGTGAGCCACCAGATGTGAGGTTGCTAATTGATGGGATTAATTGTGAGAGATTTGCAGAGATTTTCACAATGACCTTACCTGGGTTACATTCTGTTGCTGGGTTGAAGACGAGTAGCTCTTACTGTACTGACTCGACTGTTCGTAGTGTGATCCTGGATATTTAGGACCTGCTCGATATTTGTCGAAATGATCACGCACATAGTCAATTTGATTAGCATTATAACCTGAGTTCAATAGCAGATCAGCATTGCTCCCATCGGCAGTATTTGAGCTGACGTAGGTCTAGAATGGGGTTACATTTAACAAAACCAAAGTTTCTCACTTCAGGCGCTCCAAATCTCGTCAACGACCAAATGCGCAAACCTGCTGCACCGGGACAGCCTGAGATGTGCGACTCTCCGAGTGCTGAGAGCTGGTGTAGCTCTGCACTGGAGCGCTGCTGGTAAATTGCTGTTCGTCCCGGCGCTGCGGCTGACTCTGCTGAGACTCAGAACGACGCTCTTCATGATGATATTCGGCTCGGTATTGCTTATATGCATCGCCACCGCTAGTGGTGTAGCTCTGAAATTTGAGGACTTTTGACTCCAGTAGTAAATTTTCATAACACTTTTTAGAAAGTAGTTTAAGTAAAATTTGATGTTCAGTAAGCAGTGAATTATAGAGTTACTTTTCATTTT